CTGTGGGAGAAAGGTGCTACGAGTACTGCCGCCTCCCGTTCGGGTACGCTCTGGCTCCTCGCACTTTCTCAAAATGCGTGGAGGCAGCCCTGATGCCACTCAGACAAGCAGGGGTCAGGATCTTAACCTACATCGACGATTGGTTAATCCTGGCTCAGTCCAGGGAGGTAGCCCTGGAACACACGCTCCGGGTTCTGTCTCACATACAACAGCTGGGCTTTGTGGTGAACAGAGAGAAGAGCAGATTACAGCCTACCCAGCGCGCACTCTACCTCGGTCTGCAGCTGGACTCGGTGGAGTTCCGAGCAGCTTTGTCCAGGGACAGACAGGAGAGCCTCTCACAGCTGGCCACCAGGGCGCTGACTGCCCCCAGCGTGTCTGCTCGTTGCCTCAGATCACTCCTGGGGATGATGGCAGCGGCCCATGCAGTTATACGCCTGGGTCTTCTCCACATGAGAGGGTTTCAGAGATGGTTCTCCGGGTCTCAGGATTCACCCCTCCCGGGACGCAGCGACCATGCTCGTAGTTCCCCCCAGGGTGAGGTCAGACATCAGCTTCTGGCTCACCCAGAGCGTGATGAGGGACGGGGTTCCCCTCAAAAGCGCCGTATCACACGTGGAAGTGTTTACGGACGCCTCTCTCGAGGGGTGGGGAGGGGTTCTGGGTCAGAGCTCCGTGGAGGGCTCTGGTCAGATCCATCTCCGCACATCAATATACTGGAGATGGAGGCAGTGCGCAGGGTGCTACTGCACTTTGCACCACGGTTACAGGGAAAGACACGTGATGGTGCGTTCAGACAACACCACCGTGGTGGCCTACATAAACAGGCAGGGGGGCACGAGATCCCCCGCTCTCCATCGCCTGGCGGCCCTCATCCTGATCTGGGCCGATGCGAATCTGCTGTCTCTCAGGGCACGCCACGTTCCCGGAGACAGGAACACAGGGGCGGACCTGATGTCCAGGGGGGGCCCACTCAGGGAGGAGTGGGGCCTGGCCCCGCAGATAGCAGCGCAGGTATGGCAGAGGTTCGGTCGACCTCGGGTCGACCTATTCGCCAGTGCAGGCAACGCTCTGTGTCCACTCTGGTTCGCGCTGCGGCCCACAGACAATCCACCTCTGGGGGTGGATGCCCTGGCGCATTACCCGTGGCCGGGGGGTCTTCTGTATGCGTTTCCCCCGACTCGCCTCTTGCCGGTTCTTCTGAGGAGAATCGAGCAGGAGGGTCGGGAAGTGATCCTCGTCGCCCCGGACAGCCCGCATGCCCTCTGGTTCCCGTTCTTGAGGGGCATGGCGGTGTGCGACCCCTGGCCTCTCCCGGACGAGCCCGGGGCTCTGGTCCAGGGAGGGGGGACGCTTCACTCGCGTCCGGTACTGGGCCGCAGACTCTGGGTCTGGAGGCTGAGAGGCGGACTCTCGTAGGTCTGGGTCTCCCCCAGTCGGTGGTGGAGACCATTCAGGGCGCTAGGGCCCCTTCCACCATCAGGGCCTACGGATGTAGGTGGAAGGTTTTCAGTGACTGGTGCGCGGCCCGGTCCTGGGACCCCATGTCATGCCCTCTGGAGGGAGTGCTGGGCTTTTTACAAGAGCTTTTAGAGAAAGGGAGGGCTGCCGGCACCCTGGCGGTGTTCGCGGCAGCCATTGCCTCTGGACATGAAGGGTTCGGAACCTTTTCGGCTCGTTCCCACCCACTGGTCAAGCGTTTCCTTCGGGGGGCCCAACGGAAAAGGCAGGTTCCTCAAAGGACCCCCCCACTCTGGGACCTTAAAGTGGTTTTGAAGGGGTTATCGGGATCTCCCTTCGAACCTGTGGCCCAGGCCAGCCCTGAGTGTGTGGCTCTCAAGACTGCCCTTTTGCTGGCGTTGGTCTCAACCAAGAGGGCAGGGGAGCTATGCGCACTCTCCGTTCGCCCAGAATGTCTAGCATTCGGTGCTGAGGACGGTGTGGCTGTGCTTTGGCCGAACCCAGCCTTTCTGCCTAAGGTTGTTACTTCGGCTTTTAGGTCAAGGGTCATCAGGGTCCGACCCTTTCACCCGCCGCCTCATGCCTCCGAGGAGGAGGAGCGGCTGCATCTGTTGTGCCCAGTCAGGATGCTGAGATCCTACCTGGCGGTTACAGCTTCCTTCAGACGGTCGGATCAGCTATTTGTGTGCACAGGCCCTAAGAACAGAGGCGCACCTTTGACACCCCAGAGGCTGTCCCACTGGGTGTCGCGGGCGATTCGCCTGGCGTACCAGGCTCAGGAGTTGGTTCCCCCGGTGGGGTTCAGGGCGCACTCCACACGAGGAGTCGCGGCCTCCACAGCTCTGCTCCGGGGTGCCTCTGTGGAGGACGTTTGCCAAGCCGCGTCTTGGGCTTCGTCCTCTACCTTTGCCCGGTCTTATTTAGTGGACGTGGCAGAACGGTCGGTTGCCCATTCCATTCTGAACGCAGGGGTCTGACTCACCGTGACAGACCCGCTCTTCCCGTTTATTGGTTGCCATACTCCAGGAGCTCTTGATAGAGGCGTCCGGGGTATGGCCTTTCACTCTTCTCATACCTCAGGAGCTCTTGGTAGAGGCGTCCTAGGTATGTTCAATGTTGGCTCCTACGGGAGTCCTGCCTGAGTGTGGGCGTCCTTGATAGGAGCGGCCCTTGCTCGGTGTTCTTGCTCCTCTGGAGCTTGTCAGTGTCACTCAGGCGTCCTTGGTAGGAGCGGCCTCGTACACTGCGCCTTCTTATTCCTGCCCCGAGTCCATGCGCCTTGATAGTGCGGCGGGAACTCGGGCAGGGCTCCAATCACTCTACGCTGGCCTGATGGGAGTACATTCTCCGACGGCTTACGCGTGGTTACCCATAGCGAAGCCTAAGGGGCGTTAGCACCATGATGTAGAATTGATAGTTACCTAATGTAACTCAAGTTCTACGAATGGTGCGTAGCCCCTTAGCTACGGGCCCATCAGTCCAGCATGGCTTTGGCTGAGTTCAAAGTGGTTGGTACGGGCCGTAGAGGGCTATTTATAGATGGGACTGGCAGGTGATTGGAGCATTTTGTTCTCTCTGGCGGGAAGCAAGATGCTTCAGGAGTATACCCATAGCGAAGCCTAAGGGGCTACGCACCATTCGTAGAACTTGAGTTACATTAGGTAACTATCAATTATACAAGAATAACGTGGATTGAATTGAATTGAATTGAATCCTCTGGTCCATTCATTATTTAACTGTATTTGCGCCACAGACCAATCATTGCATGTGCGTTTAGAGAGAGGAACTGACGCCATGATTGATGACCCATGACCGATGACCCTACGTCTGATGACCCTACGTCTGATGACCCTACAACTGATGACCCTACAACTGATGACCGTACGACTCATGACACATTGCTGTATAAACAAACATTAAAGCACTTAAACATGTCAGGTAATAAAGCAGTAATTAAGCAGTAAAGTGCATGTATTTCTGTACCATTGCAATTCATTTTGAGTTTCCTTATTAGAAAATCAAAATCAAGTGGTTTTTATTAGTTTGAATAAAAACGCTGTCGAGCAGAAGAAAGTGGTTTATTGGAATGGTCCCGCCTTAAAGCTGTTAATGCTTTTTGTTACCGTGGTAATGGGGGTTGCTAATTAGATTCCCTGACATGGAGCCAAACACTCATAATTGTTGGTATGGCTTAAGGCCTTTTAAAGAGGCAGTGCAATGTATTGGACATTTAATTTAGTATTTGAGTTTGCTCCCACACAAAAGCAATTTCCAAAGTGGATTATTAGCCACAGACGCTCACACAGGACTATAATAAACAGCAAATTAGGGCTGGATGGTTAATCGTAATCAAATCGAAACCACAATTTCAGTTGCTGCTATCAGAAAATCGCAAATTAGCTAGACTGCAATTATGTAGATTACCTTATTTTCTTCACAAATGGCAAATGATCTTGTTGCATATTAGATACATCTGGCAATTTCTGTGTTCCGAGCTCTGAAAAAAACTTAGAAATACGAGGATCACTGTCGATGCCAAAAACAGGCAAACACATGACTAAATAAGGGAGTATTTCTCTTCATTTCAGTGCATTTTGGCTGGTTTATCTGCTAATGGGAAAGGCCTGCCCAGGCTTATCTTACTTAGTTTGAAGCACAGCAGGATTTTAAGTCTGAACTCTCTTGTCATTTCATTTCAACAAATTCAATTGACTACAAATTCAAACACATCCTTCACATTTAAATCCTCCTTGTGAACTTTGATCATTATCTTAGCCTTATAAAAGAGATATTTCTTCAATAGTTCAGCCCTGCAACAAATATAAGTAAAGCAGGGGCGCAAACTCATTTTTGTCTCGGGCCATGTTTTGAATGTAATAGCTGTAACTTTGCACTCATAAAGGTGGTACTAAGTTTTCTTAGAGGGAAGTTAGAAAACAAAAATAGATTAATCTGTTTACATAACAGCATTGTTACACTCCTGATACACCGGAATGCTGTTTGTTTAAAAATGAAAAGAATAATGAGTTTCCTGTAAGGGCATTGATTGACTTTCCTCATTCAACCACAAGATGTCGCCCTCACACTCTTGTTGGAGTCAAGTCGGTGTGAACAGTTAAATTCTTCTTTGTGTCTTAACTGTTGATTCTCTGATCTGTGTTGGTGATTTCAATGGTTTTGTTAAGTCCTCTGAGATAACTACTGTTGTGATTTAGGGCTATACAAGGTTACATTGTATTGTATTGTATTGTAATTCATTTTATTTTTGTGAACTGCTGTTGGACTAAATCACAACAGCAGGAGGCCTTTGTGAAAGTGTCGATTCACCAACAACAGATCAGAGAAGCAAATACACTGAAAAATGCAATAGTAACAAAGACATAGAAGCCATTGTTCCGCATATGGAGCGGGATGACCAATGTCCATAACAGTCCCAGTTGGCCAGAGGATGCACTAGTCGCATCTGTATGGAGAACTAGCAGAGCAGACTCATAGGACCCTGAGTTCAAGCGTTGAGCCTTGTTGTGTCTGTGCCTCAGGTTCCAGATGTCTGAGGAGGCCCCGAGGATGACGGCTTGGCCCTGAACCCACCAGTATGTCAGGTGAGGTGCACACTGTCACACATATGTCTTCACCATGACATTACTTTAGACCCAGAGTGACTCTTCTCTGTTGTACAAGTTAGAAGTTAGTACTGAGCTTTCTGAAACTAGTGCGATAGACCCTTTAAAATGATCCGTCATCTGATTATTTTATTTTTTTATCCAAGCAGCAATGATTTATTTAAAGGGAAAGATTATTAGCTAGTGGGTAAATGTTGTAATGTTAAAGATGAATATTATGAATTACTTTTGGCCATGAAAAATTATGAGACTATTTAAAATGTATATTTTAGAATGAAGAAGACCTGTTTTAGAATGGGAAATTATTTCTTAATTTGAAAGTATCTGATGAAGCAAGTATGAGGGTTTAAACAAAGCACTCTGCCTGTAACTCCCGATGCTACCACCAGAGGGGGGAGTTGAATTAGTTTTTTCTCAAATTGTAAAATTAGATTCAGATTCAGTTTGTTGCATTTTTAGATAGAAACGTATTGAAATATTTGTGCAAAAATACCCAATGTGCACAATAGACAACAAAACACTAGAATACCATATAGAAACTATATACAACCACAGCTATGAGATTGTAAAGAATGTCATTTCATTTATGGGCAACATTTTGGTTTTGAAAGCCAGAAAACTGAATGTGTTGTCATGGTATATGGAGAAAATAAAAGGGGATAGAAAATCACACTATTTTTAAAAAGGTGTACTGCAGTCCATCTTTAAAAATAAAGACAAATATACATTATAGTTTTTTATTTCAAGGACTACAATTATTTGATATTTACTGTAATTGTAATATGTTGTGTATTGTCATGTCCACAATTCCCACTATTTATCCCCAAAGAAAGGGATACTGTAGATAGTGGTACAATTTCCTGATATTAGCGTGGATGGATCTAGAAACTTAAATCTTTTATACAAAACTGTTAAAATACATTGTAAAAGTTACAGTATATTACATTATATATTATGTTAAATCCAGCCTGGGATTGCTTTTTTATTTGCATATTTTTGTGGTAGTCTCACGTATTTCCCATTTTTATTATTTCTTGTGTGTCCCATGTTTGAATAATCTTTTGAAGGGTCTATTATTGTTTATTGTTCTAGAGCAGAGATTCCCAAAGTGTTCAGGCAGCGTCCCCAATATAAGAAGGAAATAATAATAATAATAATAATAATAATAATAATACTAATGATAATAATCTTATGAACTGATGTATGTTAATAGGGACGGGTATTCTAACGCTTCTGCCTATTTTAGCCCTGTATGGTGTAATCTGTTATCTTTGTTTATATATGACAACCAAGCACTCAGTAAATAATGAAATGAAAAGGACACTGCAGAATAACATTGAAAGCAGTGATTACATGTAGCTTTATTGTAATAGCTCATCTACCGTAATTTCACCTGTTTGTTAGACAAAAAGAAGAAAAAAACAATATTTGGGGACCACTGTTCTAGATCAAATTGATGTATTAAGAAAAGTACAACACATTGTCATTGTTAGCAGCTCTGAAACGTATGAAGTGGTGGTAAATGTTGCAGCCTGCCTCGGCCTGTGACCAGTGTGTGCTGTGATAAAAGTGCCTCTCTATTTTAGAGCCTACAGAAAATTGCTCCCCCAGCTGGAAAGAGGATGCCAATGGTAATAAGCGCGCCTCTCCTCTCCTCTCTTCTCTCACTCCTCTCCTGTCCTCCTGTCTTTTCTGCTCTGTGCTTCTGTCCGGGGCTTTAGCTCAAGGGTCATTTTTTCCAAAGTCTGCACAGACCATGCCGATAATGCTTTCTGTGTGACGCCATGACACTGTGGCATGTAACTAATGATTATTTTACAATTTGTATGTATTTTTAATTTCATCCACCAGTCAAAGCATCGATTTCCATTGACGCACAGATTTGGAAATACATTTTTGATAAGGATTCATGTGATTGAAAGAATTTTTCCACTATACCAGCACTATAGTCTTTAGGGATACATTGTACCACGATGCAACTAACCCTAACAAAATACCACTGTTCCCGGGGGAATGGTGAGACTCATTTTTATGTTGTACTTTTTCAGCTGGGTCTGGATTTGACTGAATTATGAGACTAATATTTCAATAACATTTAACACAGCCTTAAACTGGTCATGCCCTTTGTGTGTATATATAGTATATTATAAAATTACAAATACAGTACTTTAAATTGTCTTATTTTGTCCCCAAAATGTTGCTGTAATTGCAAAATACTTTTCAAACACTGCGGAACACAAACTTTAAATTAGTCTAACTGTGATTCCTATCATTATAACTTTGGTAAATGTGTCTGCTCTGTATTATAATCTCGTCTGACATCATCATATCAAACAGAGGAATATCCAGGTTTAAAACATCTTAAGGATTGTATCTTCACTCTTTTTAATGTGATTTAGAATTTTAATGCCATGTGTGACTGTTTCTATCTTGTTTTATTGCACAATTTGAATTTACCTGCGTATTACTTTCCTTGTCATAAACTAATTTATGATGATAACTGAAATGAAAGAAAATATTGCGTACTGTCCCTTTAAGCTTGTATTTAAGAAGAAGTTATTTTCATGCATCTCTGACACCCCATAAATTCTGCTTCTGTTTATCCAACTATTAAGTATAAGTGTATTTAATAAAAGCATACCGAGCAATGTAGCCAAGTGAAACTAATTGGACTAAAACAATACTTATTTTTTCTGAATAAATTAAATCTCATTCAAACATTCAAGCTTCTGTAGTGCGATGATAGGAAAGGTGCAGAGAGTCTGACTCAAATGAGCAGCGAGTCCGTGCGGACATTCCTGCTGATACCAGGCCATCTGTGCTGCTGCTCTGGAAGCTCACTTCAAACACCAGCTTTGATCCACCTCAGTTACTTGGATATGTCCACTTGGCCTCTTTCTCTCTGGTTTCTCTCTGTGATTTCTCTCCCTGTTCTCTCTCTCTCTTTTCTCTCTTTTCTCTCTCTGGTCTCTCTCTCTCCTCTCTCTCTGGTCTCTTTCTGGTCTCTCTCTGCTCTCTCTCTGATATCGCCGGTCTCTCTCTGGTCTCTCTCTGGTCTCTCTCTGGTGTCTCTCTGGTCTCTCTCTGGTCTCTCTCTCCTCTCTCTCTGGTCTCTTTCTGGTCTCTCTCTGCTCTCTCTCTGATATCGCCGGTCTCTCTCTGGTGTCTCTCTGGTCTCTCTCTGGTCTCTCTCTGGTCTCTCTCTGGTCTCTCTCTCCTCTCTCTCTAGTCTCTTTCTGGTCTCTCTCTGCTCTCTCTCTGATATCGCCGGTCTCTCTCTGGTCTCTCTCTCCTCTCTCTCTGGTCTCTTTCTGGTCTCTCTCTGCTCTCTCTCTGATATCGCCGGTCTCTCTCTGGTCTCTCTCTGGTCTCTCTCTGGTGTCTCTCTGGTCTCTTTCTGGTCTCTCTGTTCTCTCTCTCTGATCTCTCTGGTCTCTCTCTGTGGTTTTTCTGGTCTCTCTGGTCTTCTCTCTCTCACCTATGCTTGTTCTGCTGTACAGAAAGCAGGATTAAAGAGACACTATGTAAAATTCACATTCTAAATTACATATCCATCTTCTATCTCATCGTTTTGTCAGTATGTACTAGTATGATTTGGCTTTTTCTAATGCAAAATTGCATTATCTCAATATTGTATAACTAGTTTTACCATTAAGTCAATATACTGTATTTAAACCCTATCCTTGTGGAAGGGACATAGCGGCGTGTTTCGACCACTCTCTGATCTACATTATTGTCCCACGGATTCTCAAAGAGCACCTGACTACTATATATATATATATATAATATTATTATATAGTAAATGTACACACGGTTAATTTTGAGCCCCAAAATGAATCAAGTCCAGTTATTACCTCGCTACTCTTACTTTAGTATCAACACTTTTTCACTTGTTTTCTCACTCATGGTGGACAAAAGCACTTCCCTTGGCTTCCTTGATTGCATGTTGTAAGGTGTAGTGATTCTTGAGTATCGCTAATATCATTCACTGTTCACCGTCTGGATGTTGAATAGCCCTAAAAAGCTCTCATTTTCTTCATGTTTCAACACAATGTCACTCGAGCATCAATTTGCCCAAAGTTGTGGCAAAATGTGCAAATATCAGAAAAATAGGCTATCTGTAAAATGATGTTGAGTAGAAAAGACCATTGGAAGGCCCTCTGCTGTACTCTCACTACTTTTCTGCAGTGGTTACGTCTTCTTAAGCTTTCCCACATTTCTCAATCCCTTGTAACTGACCCTAAAGGGCTAAAACACCTTTTGATGAACTTGGGTCGTTGGGCGCAATAATCCAATCAAAGTGACACATTTTAGTGAAGGAGTCCTTCGTCCGGGTGCCCTGAACTTTAAGGCCATGGTTCAGTAGCTAATGTGTCGGCCAGACTAACACGGAGTAGCCGGGGACATCTGGCTCTGGCCCCGGAGAAAACCAGTCCCCACATCCAAACACACCTGACCACTTTCTGAACCACGCTAATCATTTAGGAAGCAGTTTATTTGTCCACAAGACACTTCAGAGAGACGTTTTAAAGAGTGGAGGCTGCGAGGTACGAAAGTAGTGGTAAAAGCAGGTTTGTAGATGTCAGCGAAAGACATGTCAGGAATCAACTTGAATTTTTGTGGAATATAGACCATATCTGAATGCAGACTGGGTGAGTCATGTATATATTCACACACACACATGGCACTGTTGAATTTTAGCAGGTGCTTATTTATTGGACAATATTATAATTATAATTATCATCATTATTATTGTTAATGTTTGATGTAGTTCTTATGACGCTACAACTATTTTTTATATATGAATATAACAATACTATAATATACTAAATATGAATTGAACAATGTAACTTTGCTGTTAAAATATTGTTTTAGTTTATCTCCAGTTATTCAAATGTGAATTTACGATATAGAGAAGCCAAACACACAAAGTGACATAACCAAGCCTTTCTTTGGTTGGTTCGCCATTACCATTCGGTCGGTCTGTATCTGGAAGTCCCACAGGATCTTTGCACGCTCATTCTCCACCACCTTTGGAGGAGTTTCCCACTTAGACCTTGGAGTTTCCAGCCCATACTCTGCACAGATGTTTCTGTACACTATGCCAGCCACTTGGTTATGGCGTTCCATGTAGGCCTTCCCTGCCAGCATCTTGCACCCTGCAGTTATGTGTTGGATCGTCTCAGGTCCTCCTTTGCACAACCAACACCTTGGGTCTTGTCTGGTGTGGTATATCTGGGCCTCTATCGCTCTGGTGCTCAGTGCCTGTTCCTGTGCAGCCAGGATGAGCGCCTCTGTGCTGTCCTGTAGGCCAGCCCTTTCTAGCCCTTTCTCTTCCTTTGGCCACCTGATTATTGGGCCTGCTTTTCTTCAGCAGGGACAGGGAAGATGGCTAAAATTGATGGAAAGATGGATGGAGCCAAATACAGGACCATTCTGGAAGAAAACCTGTTGGAGTCTGCAAAAGACCTAAAGAAGAGATTTATCTTCCAACAGGACAATGATCCAAAACATAAAGCCAAATCTACAATGGAATGGTTCACAAATAGACGTATCCAGGTGTTAGAATGGCCAAGTCAAAGTCCAGACCTGAATACAATCGAGAATCTGCGGAAAGAGCTGAAGACTGCTGTTCACAAACGCTCTCCATCCAACCTCACTGAGCTCGAGCTGTTTTGCAAGGAAGAATGGGAAAGAATTCCAGTCTCTCGATGTGCAAAACTGATAGAGACATACCCCAAGCGACTTGCAGCTGTAATTGCAGCAAAATGTGGCGCTACAAAGTATTAGCGCAAGGGGGCCGAATAATATTGCACGCCCCACTTTTCAGTTTTTTATTTGTTAAAAAAGTTTAAATTATCCAATACATTTTGTGTGTCCCACTTGTTGTTGATTCTTGACAAAAAATGTAATTTTTATATCTTTATGTTTGAAGCCTGAAATGTGACGAAATGTTGAAAGGTTCAAGGGGGCCGAATACTTTTGCAAGGAACTGTACATCATGCGGCACTGCCGTAACACATCGTCATTGTCAGACAGGTTATCAGTAATAAAATGTCCCAAGTACTTATATTTGCTACTCAATATCAGATTATATCCACACAATTTAAATTGGGGAAACTTCAAGATTTTGTCATCTCTTGTACGACAAATCATTATGACACTCTTGCCGGCATTATATTTGATGTCATATTCCAGACCATACTTGGAGCAAACATGAAGAAGTTCTTGGAGGCCAGCACTGCTTGTCAATACAACAACATCATCATTGTACATTAGGTGATTTGCAAGAGTTGAACCAATCATACAGCCAGTCCTACATGCATTCAACCATTGTGACAACTAATCCATATACAAACTAAACAACACTGGAGAAAGAATTCCACCTTGCCTTACTCCATTGGTAACGCCAATGAACATTCCGCGCACATTTGTGTTGGCGACAGTGTTGCCAACTCCTCAGTAAGGAAAGTAGCTATTGGCTGTCCCAAAAGTCGCTAGAAGTCGCTAAATGACGTCATCGCCTAATTTGCATAATTGGCAATTTGCAAATAACTGTATCGGACGCTGTAGGAGAGAGGAATAACGTCGTGGGAGAGACAAAAGTGAGTAAAAAACACCTTAAAGGCAC